ACCTACATGTCCTACAACTGGACGGTACGGACTATAAGAGTTTTGATGGCTTTGCCAAACAAGTGGCCGATATTGTGGGCGACAGGGGTTTGGATACACTTATTAACAATGCGGGCATTTTGTTGAGAAACACTCTGAATGACGTGACCGCCGACGCTATGCTCACCAACTTTGAAGTCAATTCCGTGTCGCCATTAATTCTTACAAAAGCACTGTTGCCTGTGCTTAAGGTTAGTTTAAAATATTTTTAATGACAAAGATTTAACTAAAATAAAAGTTATATAATCATCAAGAAATAAAAAATATTCTATTAAAATTCTTATACCTAAATTACCATTATTTAAAATTATTTAATGGTTTAATTATTTAAATAATTATGTGGCTAAGATTTAAATATAAATTTTCACGTATTAATTATAAACAACTACTCACAGCAATCAGGAGCAACCAAACGCAAAACAAGCGTGGTCAACATTTCATCATATCTAGGCTCAATCGGTGAAGCGCATAAGTTTGGACCGGCTTTGTATTACCCGTACTGTACAAGTAAAGCGGCTCAAAATATGATCACAAAATGTCTGTCGGTTGATTTGGCGCCACATGGTATTATTGCTGTGGCCGTACACCCGGGCCACGTGCAGACCGATATGGGCGGTCCCAGAGGGGCCATCAATGTGGAGACCAGTGTTAATGGTATACTAAACGTGTTAAATAAGTTGACTGATACTGATGCTGGTAAACTAATTGGCTACGATGGCACTGTAATACCCTACTGAATTGATTCATCAAAATAATTCTGGTATATAATTCTCTACATAACTAAATATGATAATATTTTCAAAATTATTGAAATATTTATAATTTTATAATTTTTCAAAATAAAAGAATTCTTAATCTATATATTTTAGTTATTAAAATTAAAAGTACCATATCATAACTTAAAAATATATGATAGTATAAAATCTTTTAAACTTGATAAAATATTTAATACAACTATTTTATAATGTCAAGGTTAAAGATATGATAAACATATCAATTCAAAACTGTGTAATTGTTAATGTGATGTTTAATAAATTATTATTTTTCTCATCAAATAAGTATTACATTTTTTTTTGTAAACAATGACTTTTGAGTCGGTGTTGATTACGGGCGCCAATCGTGGCATTGGTCTCGGATTAGTGACCGCACTGTTGGCCAAACCCAACGGTGGACCCAAACACGTAATCGCCACTACACGACAGGCCACTAATCCAGCGTTGGATGAGCTCCGGGACCAACACTTAAACCTACATGTCCTACAACTGGACGGTACAGACTATAAGAGTTTTGATGGCTTTGCCAAACAAGTGGCCGATATTGTGGGCGACAGGGGTTTGGATACACTTATCAATAACGCCGGTATTGTACTAAGAAATAATTTAGATACAGTTACCGCCGATGATATGGTTACCAACTTTAAGGTCAATTCCGTGTCGCCTTTAATGCTTACGAAAGCCCTTTTGCCTGTCTTAAAAGTAAATCGAGTATTTATTTGTTATAGATTATTTATATACTGTACATTCTGTCCATACATATAATACATAAATATAATATGATTTATTTAATTTAACTTAAAGTCATTTAATGTTTAATAAATAATATTTAACAAACAAGTTACTTTTAATAAATGTAACAATTTATTTTTATGCATTTATTTCAGCAATCAGGTGCTACTAAACGTAAAACCATCGTGGTGAATATGTCATCTATAGGTGGCTCTATTACTGTTGCCCCTAACTTACTTCCATCAATGTACTATCCCTACTGTCCGAGTAAAGCGGCCCTCAATATGATTACTAAATGCTTGTCCATTGATTTGGCCTCACATGCTATTATGGCTGTTGCTATACACCCGGGCAGCGTTCAGAGGGATGTGGACGACACCGATGGAACTATTCCAATGGAAACTAGTGTTAATTGTATGTTAGATGTAATAAATAAGTTGACTAATAATGATACTGGGAATTTTATTAATTATGATGGCAACATTCTGCCTTATTGAATTATTATGAATATAGCATTTTTAAATATCATAATAATTATTTTAATATGTGACTTATTTAAAATATGTTAATATAAAATTATTTTTATTTATATAATTTTTAAACAAATAAGATTATAATATAATATTAATATAATATTTTATGATATTATCATAAATAACTAAACAATTTAATGCAAAATTTGTAATTACTTTATCATGAATGTAAGTAATTATTTATAAGTAACTAAAGACATCGATTACGAACCATTTAGTTTATAGATAAAGTTAATGTAAAGTACATTTTAGCTATAAGTTTAGTTTTACAGTTTTAATTAATTTTGATTACAACAAATAATACAGATAATTGCAACAAATATTTTATTATAAAGGTAATAATCTAAATATATTGTTATTGAATGTTATTGATTAATTGAAATCTTACAAGTTGTTATAGTTGTCCAACTTAATAAATTCATTTTAATAAATTAAATGTTTGTTATTTGTTTAATTAAACAATATTTAGAAAGGAATATGATTAAATAAATACATATATTTACAACAACTAAAAACACTTTCATTTATAATAATGTTTATTTTTATATGACTATACAAACATACTATAAGTAGAAATATAATAAATTGGTATAAAATTAAAGTAGATAAATACATTTATACAGTATTAGTAAAATATAGTTCAAGTAAACCAAAACACTCAAAATGCTTAAATTTATAAATTCACATTTAAACTACTTTATTATATTTACATTATACTTGAATCGTATTTTTGGGGCAACATTTGGTGGATTAAATATTAAACTAAACAACAGTCTCCCATACGTATCAACTCTATGGAAATACTATGGTTACTGCTATTTAATACTTATGTATGGGTTGATAGTATTCACTTCAATGAAATCCTATAAACATTTCAGCAACCAAGATTATCCCATATTCGTAGTGCCCATGATGGTTTTAATGGTGTTTTCGATTCGATATTTGCGAGTTTTAACTTTATATTATTATAATATTAGAGGTTTTAAGTTAATTGCTAATATTGGCAATTATTTTAGTCCTCACTTGGCCCCCGATTCAATAATTAATTGGCGATTGTCAACATGTTTTTTACTATGGTTACTTAACTCGATAATTCTGTCTGTCATGTGCGTCCGAGATGTTATAATTACTAATTTTACAAATCGTACATTTGAAATATTTGACACATATCATATGATATGGCAAGTATGGCTAACTGCCGGAATTACCTGGATTATTTCTATACTAGCTGGTAATATACTTGACAAAATAGCCGGGAATTTATGTACTTCATTTACCTGTATGTTATATATTTAAAATATTCTAAATACTTAAAAAAGTTTTTTTTACAATTATTAATATTTTGTATTTTTATAAAATTAGATAAACGAGGTGGTAACGATAAGTTTCAAATATTGCTCCAAAACAAACAATTGGTGTTAAATATAAAGGCGTCTATTACGTGGTTTGACAACCAAATTGCTCATAATTTGTTTATCAATACAATCGCGGTCATTTGTTGCATAATGATGTCCATATATGTGACCACATCATTATGGCAACAATCAATGTCGACAGTTATAGCGCTGTCGTCGGTGTCATTGATTGTACAACTGGTGGTTTCGTGTGTGATATGCGGTTCTGTCGGCAAGAAATTTAATAATATTAGGGAAGTGTTGGACGCCGTCAACGGTGACCAATTCACGGACCGGGAGTTCCGGGAATTATTGCTCTTTAAGGATGTCGCCAAAAATTCTGGCACATGTGGCTTCACTATCGCCGGGTTTGCTGTTCTTAACAAGTCTACACTTATAGCGGTATACAGTATTAATTACATTAATTATTTTATTTTGTTTTCTAATGATTTATTTATTTATAGATTTTAATATTTATTCTCAATTATACGGTCATCTTATTACAGACAACCAAATCATCATAATTTTGTAAATTGTAAATTTTCAATGGTCATTAATATATAAACTGTAATTATGTAATTGATTAATTAATATGTTCATATAAATGTTGTAACATTTTAGGTTGTTGGGAATAGATAACGATTATATAACGATTATCATTAACGTCATTGTTATTTATTACAATTATTTAAAATTGTTCAAAAATTATTCCGAGTAATTCCCCGGTAGGAGCAACGCGACGTACCAATATATTCCCCGGTAGGAGCAACGCTACGTACCAATATATTCCCCGGTAGGAGCAACGCGACGTACCAATATATTCCCCGGTAGGAGCAACGCGACGTACCAATATATTCCCCGGTAGGAGCAACGCGACGTACCAATATTCCCCGGTAGGAGCAACGCGACGTACCAATATTCCCCGGTAGGAGCAA